TAGCTAGAAAAATTTGCATTATCTGTATAGAAAAACTTTCATACCTCCTTAAAGGGGACTTCTGGTACCAGCACATAATCAGAATAAGATAATCTGAAAGGCTTCCTATGCAAAAATATGGACACAATGAATAGAATACACTTTTTTAATGTTTTTAAGTTTACTGGTACAGTTCAAATACCATTTGTCATAGGGAATTTGTACCTGTACATGATAAGTTGTAGTTCCTCTTTGTTTCCCCCATTCTCCTCCTCTCTCTCCAACCCCTCTTCTCCTTATTCACAAAGCTTTGCTTCCCTTTTATCCTTTTTTTCTCATTTTTTTCTTTTCCCTACCACCCCCTCCACCCCCACCTCCAGACCATACTCAAAAAAGAAGATAGTTGTTTTTTTGTTCTTTCTTTTTAAAGTTTCATGCAGTACTCTCTTTCTCTAAGAAAATCTTACTAGGAACCAGAAACCTAGAAAGACGTGAAAACAAGGAGTAAGTCAGTGTACGGGCATAATCCTTTAACACCAACAAGGAGACAGCAGATACAGACACTCAAGTTGATACAGACAATCACTCAAGTTGAGTGTCAGATACAGACAATCACTCAAGTTGAAATCTGGCCTAAAAGGCAAGAGTGAGATACAGTATGGCAGAATGGACAAAGAAATCGGTAAATAAAACTTGGCTACATGAAAGAGCAAAGATAATGACCAGTGTGGGGCAGCAGCAGCATGCTAGAATGTTTTTAACAGCTGGCTCCAACAGGGGAGAAGGAGAGAGGAGTGTTGCTTAGTACCATTTGCTGGTTTCTCTGGGGTGACTACTCCCATCGCGGCCAGCTTAAGCTACCACTGTGACATTACTCAATGTATGACATTCCTGAAGAGTAGTGTTTAATGACTTACACCGTTTCTGAGAATTCAGCAGTCACATCTTGAGAGTTCACAAAAGCTGATCGCAGCCTCCCTGACTTAAGAGTATGAAAGCAAAGCCGAAACACTTAACAGTATCAGAAAGAGTGACGATTATTGTAGTTAATGCCTTCAGAAATGTGATTATAGTGAAGAAACATAAAGACATTTTGTAATTCCCATGTCCATTTCCAAGTTAACACTTAGGTATTACAATTTCAAGAGTGAATTAGAATGTTTAATTTTGAAACTAGAAATGGGAAATAAAAGAAATAAGAAAATCTTGATTAAAACAAGAGGTGTGATCAAGTAAGAAAAAGATAGGGATGGCAAAAAGAGAACAAAAACTGAAGTTGTGGAAGTAGATCTAAATATAACCAGAAGAGTCAACAGCATCATAAAAATAAATAGCACAAGCCTCCCAGTTAACACAAACTCATAGATTTTTTTGTTTGTTCTTTTGTTTTTTTTGTACCAGGAATCAAACTCAGGACCTTGTGCTTACCAGGCAGGCACTTGTGCCACTGAGCTGTATCCCCAGGTCTTAGATTTATTAAATTAATTATAAAATTTAACAATATGCTGTTTATAAGAGAAGCACATAAAGTAAAAGGACCCAAAAAATAAAATCTAAAGAAATAAATATGTTAGACAAATATTAACCAAAAGAATTCTATGAGTTTTATTAAACATAGATATTAAGGCCAAAAGCATTATTTAAACTAGCTAAAGACAATGCTTTTTAAAATGAAACAACTTACCCAGAGTGTTTTAACAGTACTGGGTTTACATGTATTTAACAAGGTAGCCATAAAAAATATGAAGCAAAAATTAATATGCTGCCCAAGAAGGAAACCAGCAAATCCAAAAGGACAGGAGGTAATTATCTCCCAGCGTAACTTACAGATTAACAAAAACAATTAGTAAGGATACAGTGAACTTGAACAACACAGTTAATAAACTTGATCTAAAATGCATTAAATTCTAAAACTTAAAATACATATTCCTGCCAAGCACAAATAGAATAGCTAACAATTTTTGATAGCATACTAGGTCACAATACAAATATCACAAATACCAAATAAATGATATGATAGTGATCACAATGCAATAAAGTTAAATGTCAGCGTAAAAAATTTTACTAACACCCACACTTACTGAGTTTTTTTTTAAACCTAAATTGTGGACCAAAAAGAATTAGGGAACTACTTAGAAATGAATAAATATAAAAACAGTGTATGCTAATACTTTTAAGTTAAAATTTGACTGGTACTTGTAGAAATACTAATAAAAAGATTTTAAAAAGAATGAAAATTGAACAGATAAGTACATAAGAAATAGGCAGAGAACATCATCCAAACCAGTTCAAAAGGAGAAAATTAATAATACTTAAAAAATGAAAAACAGAAATTAACAAAAACAAAAACTGCTTGCAACTACAAATTAAATAGACAAATCTTAGCAAGAATATTTAATTTTTTAAAAAAGTAAGGCACAAAAAGACAAGGTTAAGAATGAAAAGGAAGTAGATGGTATAACCATAAGAGCAGCAGAACCCCTCCCAAAAATTATTAGAGAATAATTTTCAACTTTATATCAATTCCTTAGAAAATATAGATGACTGATTTTTAATATTATTTTATAAACTGATAGACCTATTTAAAAATTTAATAAGTAGTTTAAAATCTATCTGCCCTTCCCTAAAATAATCTTCAGATTTGGATAGTTTTGGAGGTAGATGCTACCAAATATTCTAAAGATAGGGTCCCTATTTTGTAGCATTTTCTATAGTAGTTATTCCTGAGAATATAAAAATAAAGAGTATTTTCAGTAAATTAAATGAATCCTATACAATGCTGATGTGAATGTGGTTACTATAAAAACATAAAAAACAACAGTTAGAATAACTTGACATTATCTGATAAAGATATGCATGGCCTGTGCCGCAGCAGTCTACTCCTAGTCTCGTATCTTAGAAACTCATGGATACCTGTCTATCCATCTCTCTGTCTTTCTATCTATCTTCTGGTGTGTGTGTGTGTGAGGCTGCACCTCAAGACCATAATGTTAAGTGAAATAAATCAGATACACATGTTTAAATATCATGTTATCAAGCACACAACCACACCAGAAGACATAGCTGAGTGTGTTTAATTTAAGGTTTAAGAGAAACGTAAAATAACCGAAATGGCCATTGTCTGAAGAATGAATAAACTGTCATTCATGCAGTTGGTTCCTACACATTATTGAGAATGAATTAACTATGTAGCTGGATGCATCAGTATAGATGAAACAGCAAGTTTTAAAAGAATATGACAAATTCAGGGAAATAAAACAATATATTGTTGGAAATTTTAAGCATTTGCTAAAAACCAGGAAGAAAACAAGGGGATGATAAACATAAATCTCAGGACATGGTTAGCCCTGGAGGGGGCACAAAGAAGTGTGACTAGAGAAAGGCATAGCCTGGCTCTTAAGGCAGGGCTGACTAATCTAGGTCGTGGGTGTAATTAATCTCTAATTACTAACCCTTAAAAAATATATATAGTTTATAGTAAGATAGAGTGAAATATTTCACTTGTAAAAATTTATTTTTAATTGTTGAGATTTTATTAAGGAAAAGCTAATATTTGAAAATAATCATGAAAATAGGAAAATGAAGTTCATTAAGGAAAAACATGAGTTACTGTCTGTAGGTATAATAAAGCTGAAAGAACTGAAACAGTTAATGATGCACAAAAGGATAATATATAATGAGATAGGAGAGTACTTCAGCAGAAACATATTCTAATCAGTACCTTCAAAGGAGTTTGAAAGCACACTGCAACAAAGACGAATAGGATGGGGCTAAAGGTGTAGCTTGTGTAGCTCAGTGGTAGAACACATGCTTAGCATGTATGAGGCCTGAGTGTTAATCCCCAGCACAGAAACAAAACAAGCAGGCATGCCATGAGAAGAAGGTAATCAGAAATCATGAACAATCCATTGAAAATTAAAATGATTTATTGAGTTCAAAAATTCAGCATAATGCTTTTAGAGTATACATTTAATAAAGTCTCCAAGAAAGCAGAACAAAAGGATAAATACAAGTAAATAAGTAAAAGGAGAGATATCTGTTGGGTATTTGTTAATAATAACAGCTGATAATTATATATGACATATAATGTACCAGCTGCTCTTTTAAGTAGTTTACCTATATTGGTTGCTTAATCCTCCTAACAAGGTGCTCATATTGTTCCTGCTTTTTAGACAATGAAACTATGGCAGACAGAAGTTAAGTAACTTCCCCAAGCACCCATAACAAAACTGGAGTATAGCATTAGGTAGTCCATAAGGCTGCAACCTGAAACATTACACTCTCCCACTAAAATGTTAATGCCCACACATTCATATCTGTATGTTTATAAAAATCACATAGAGAAAACTTTCTAATTGGTCATTTTGAAATAGAAATAGTAAACTAGAAATAGAAATATGTCCTATTTTGACGCTAAAGAAGTGTTTGTCACTGTCGTGGAGCTTACAAAGTGCAATAGTAATATATGAAAAAATGTTCATCACCTGTCATTTGAGAAATGCAAATTAAAACAGCACTGAGAATCCATCTCACTCCAGCAAGCATGGTTATCATCAGGAAATCAACCAGTAACAAATGCTGGCGAGGCTATGGGGCAAAAGCCCTTCTCTTACAACCATTAAGGAAATCCATATGGAGATTCCTCAGAAAATAAAGCTGTAGGTTCCATTTGACCCAGCTGTTCCCCTTCTGGGTATCTTCCTAATAGCGTTGAAAGCATCATACTACAGTGATATATGCACACCCATGTTCATAGCAGCACAATTTATAACAGCTAAATCTTGGAAACAGCCCATATGGCCATCAACAGATGAATGAATGAAGAAAATGTGGTATTTATATACAATAAAGAAGGATACACTGGAGTCATTTTTAGGTAAATGGCTGCACCTCAAGACCATAATGTTAAAGTGAAATAAATCAGATACACATGTTTAAATAGCATATGATCAAGGAACCCCAGAGTAGATAAGGAACAAAATGGAGGATTGGTATCGGGAAGTAGGAAGAACATGTTCAAATGGAATGGGGAATAAGGGAG